CATGCGGGTTGCTATTTTAGTCCGCAAACTGAGGAATCGCGCGGATGAAAGTTTGAGATGGCGGCGAAAAAAAACTCACAAAGGGTCTACTAATTACGACATTTAAGAAATGGGAATGCCAGTCTGATTTTTCGTATGAATCGTCCAAAGGGCGTATCACTAAACTCACCTGGGATGTATGCACAGAACACGAGAGCGAGATACGACGAGAGGCACGATTACGAGGCAAGTTGGTCATTAGATTTGTAGGCTAATCGCTATAAAAAATATTATGAAACAGTATTGGTTATTCTATAATTTACTGGTTGTAGCATGGTACCTTTATGAATAAAACATTTGTCACAAGGTGTAGTCATGCTAATGTTAACTGTTGGTAGAACTAATGATGACGTGTGTTAAATTTGAAGGTTGTTGTGAAGTTTTTTTTCGAGGTACAAATTCTCGGTCGGTCGGGTTACCGGAAACACACTACTTTTTTTTCTACGCCTTAAGGGGGTATTTTCGCCCATGTAGGTTTCGTTGGAGAGGAGTTTCACTGTAGATGCATGGCATACATTTTCATTGCATCCAAACTTTTTGACAAATCCTGTAGAATGTTAAACCTTCTGGTGGTGCTTGACTTATTCGAGCCTCTGGGGCAGGCAAACTCTGAAGTGAATGCGCAGAAGACCAGATTTTGCCGCAATTTTTGCCGGAAACAGTTTGCTATGCTTTGAGTGCATATCTGGCATGAACGTGCAGAATCTCTCTCATGCTTACTCAGTTTCTTTTTCCTTTTCTACTCTCGAACCCAACCCGGGGTTCAGTTTCCAAGAGTCTTTTAATTGCTGAGGAACGGGCTGGACGTGCGCCATGTGAAAAGTGCCCTGCGATGTCTTCTGTTGTGATTTCAGCAGCTCCTATATTTTGTTGTTCTACTTCTTCCTTTCATAACTTTGCTTGGGAATTTCTCTCATTGCAAGACTAATAGGTTTTCTTATCTTATCTTATTTGGCGCTGTATAAATTAAATTGGTGGATGAGAGAATCTGCCCAGCTAGAAAAAAATGCATAGCTTTGTTCTTTTCTTACTTACACAGGAGAATGTGGCCTATCTCATATCTCATATAGCTTATTTTGTCCACCAACAAAGGACCTTCAAAAGGCATATTAGGGCAAGCATGTGGTGGGTAAGCATATGGTATTTCTTTTCCAAGTTCTCTGACCAACTACAGTAGAGCCCCATTATCTTTCCGCTTCTGTGTATAATTGATCCTGATTGAAATGCATTTGGTAATAAAATTGAACCCAAAAAATTTCAACAAAAAGAAGGCTGATAAACATTCAATGTAGGTTCTCCATAAACAATGGATGGTAAATGGCGAGGGGGGGTGGGGGGGGTGAAAACCAAACAAACAAAATAACAATTTTGAAAGAATATAGATTTAAATTCCTCGAATATGCAAATCCATGTGTACCAAACGGCAAGTATCCGGTGGGGGGGCTGACTGTTCTGAGCTTTTCATGTTTTTCAAAGGTCCTCCATTTCCAGTCCCATTCCTTTTGTACTATTTTAGTTCCAGCCAAAGATGAAATAGGTCGACTGACAATTTGATTGCCATTGACTTTGTGACGATAGGAGCTACCAGATGTGAACGTGACATGGTCAGATGACGGACCTCGAGCACTTGACTCTATTCACATTTCAATTGCTGTTGCAACTGACAAAGGCCTCATTACACCCATCATCAGAGATGCTGCAAACAAAGGAGTTCATGAGATTTCTACGAACGCAAAGGTAAAAGTCTGAATCTGAATCATTGCTCTGTTCGCTTATTACCTACAGTCATTGGGGCGCTATCGACATTGATCTTTGTATGATTGCGTTAGGTGTCTTGACTCCCTTGTCTTGAGAGTTTCTTGCCAGTGCGGCATTCGGCCATGCACATTGGACAGTGTCATTCCGATTGTCCATTTAGATTTGTTTCGCATGATTTGTTTTTTTGTGTTTTTGCCTTTGTCTGGTCTTTTTTCCGTGTAGACAAAAACCAAATCAATCAGTTCTCAGTTCTTTATGTTGGTCACAGGCAACCTCATGGTCCAAGATTTATGAAAACACACAATACTCCGCTGTCAGGAAACATCCATGCATCCATATTCATTACCGTGTGTCCAGTTCAGGGTCACGGGGTGCTGGAAAGACAGATCTCACCCTGAACTGGTCACCGGTTGCAGCGCACATATAGACAAACGACTATTGGAGCTCACATTCGCACCTTCACTGAGTGGAAAGTGAGCACACGCTGCCTCAGGCGAATGTACCAATACACTATCCGTGACTTGAGTGAAGAAACATTTTGGAAGGTTTTTGTTTTTTTAAGATTTCAAACCAAATATAACACTTAGCCACTGGCATTCTGGAGGCCTGTCATAGAACAAAATATATATTTTTAAAATCATCTTGCATGCCTTTAACTTGACAGCTGTAGTATTGGTACTGGAATCAGCAGTAATTTCAAGTCAAGGAATCTTCTAAAAAAAAAAAAAAAGACTGTTAACAGTTCGTGCACATAATTGTTCCATTCGAGGCAATCCCATGGGCACACTCATTTTCATGCATTGTGATGTCTCCGCAGTTACTCTACTCAGTCACGCTTTGCCATCAAACCCTGGCCACAGTCATGTGTTTGTTTTGTTTGCGAGATGCCTCATCATGTGGGTCATTGTCAGTTCCATTTCCTCATTTCAGCAAGATACAATCTCATGGTTTCCATTTGTGTCAAAGGCTGCTATTGGACAATTTTTTTGTACTTGGAACACCATGTTCCTGTTTGTGGGTTTATTTTTTGTGTGTTTTTGTTTTTAAGGAGATATGTGAAAGAAGTTTTCTGTTATGATTCTTTAGGTAGACCTACAATTATAATTCTTTATCCTGAAGCAACATTTTAGCTATGGTTATTATTTAGTATTCACTATTATTGGCAAGAAAAAGGTTATTATTTTGTTATTGTGTGTACTTTGTGAGGCACTTCTAGTACCACCAACGGATAAATAGTTGACCGATGTCTTATATACAGCTAACAATGACAAATAATGTATGCTTCATAGGCATTGGCCCAAAAGGCTCGAGATGGCAAACTCTTACCCGAAGAGTACCAGGGAGGCTCATTCAGGTAAAACAAAGGCAAAGAAAACAACATGACACGACCAAATGTGTTTTCTGTGTATCTACTCCTGTGTTTTATGCACTCATCATGTTTTAAATTCTTGAGATTGAGAGTCATTGCACGGCAAATCACCCAGCGGGTTTAACACAAAGGTCAAGTAAAGAAAAAAAAAAGTCATCATTTGAAGTGATTTGTCAAATTTGAATCTATAGTGCATGCACCAACTGCACTATATCACAGTGTTGTATTGCACTTTATGTCAAATACGCTGACATCCCCCCAAGCACCCCCACCCCATCAAAATGAGCACTGGTACACGCATGCTACTGAGAAGCCACAACCATCACGCACAGATTTTTTTTTCCCCTCCTCCTCTCAAATGCCACAGCCAAAACACTGAAAACAGTCCACAGCAGGTCCTCGCACAAAGGACAACTAACACCATATGACAATACAAATGACAAGAGCAACAAAAAAACAGCATCGCTATTGAAGATGACTGCCAGCTCATGGCGCCATCATTGTCATTCATATCTGGTTGCGTATTGTTCTGTGTACTGATACACTGTACAGTGCTTGAAGGGGAAGTCAACCCAATAATGTTATTTACAACAGTACGTTCTATGTAGCCCCACTCGCCAAGACATTTGACTATTGAGTTTGTGGAAAGTGAATAGAGCAGCAAAAATCCATCCGTTTTTGTCCAACCCAGGGGGCGGCCATTTTGACAGTTGCTCTCGACTGAAAATTACATTAGAGTGGCTCAGGGCTCAAATAACGACTAATCAAGGCTCAACTTGCAAACATCAAATGACCGACCTCAGAAAACAGATGTATGCCATTTGGGCATTATTTAACACAATGTGATACTACAAAATGTTAGAATCATTGAAAAGTCCATTTAAAAAGAAGTGCATTCTTGAAACCCGGCCCCGGTTGGTCAATGCGGAAATCTCCATAGCAGTGCAACCGAGGAAGTGGTGTACCTCAGATCTTTTCCACCTCAGTTGTTGCAGAATCTGTACAGTGACATACATCTCGTCGGCTCATGACATCGCGTCTTTTCCAAGCAATGCAAAACTAATTTAAAAAACGCATTAATAAATAGCCTGTCCAATTTATGTTAATAGGTATCAAAGTTATTAGGGTTGTATTTAAAGGAGATAAGGACCAAGCCCTGCTCTAAATAGTGACAATTGTAAACTCGTAAGTGCAACCCCCCGCCCTCACCAGCACCCACACACACAAAATGAAGGTTTATAATTAAATACAGATGCCACCAGATAGTGACAAAGCTCTCCATTATTAGACAGGGCTATGGACAACACGATGAAGCTCCTCTCCATTTCAACATAGTTCTTTGGCCATAACAATAACATTCTTTGATATCCACACAAATACAGCACAAATGTGGAGAAACGTTCACCATACAGTATGTGCATGAACTTTGTACAACCCCAATTCCAATGAAGTTGGGGCATTGGTAAACATAAATACAAATGGAATGCAGTGATTTGCAAATCATGTTCAAACTATATTTAATGGAATCCACTACAAAGACAAGATGTTGAATGCTCAAACAAACTTTATCGGTTTTAACAAATAATCACGGACTTGGAATTTTATGGTTCCAACACGTTTCAAAAAAGCTGCGAAAGGTGGCCAAAAAGACTGAGAAAGTTAAGGAATGCTCATTTAACAGCCATTTGGAACAACCCGCCGGTGAACAAGCAAACTGGGAAGAGGTGGGTCCCATGATTGTCGAGGAAAAAGGAATTTACCTGAATTGCACATTCCCAAGCAAAGATCGGATGTGGATCACCTCTGTTAACAACTGCATGGGAAAATAGTCCAGCAGTTAAAGGACAATGTTGCGCAATGTACAATTGCAAGGAATCCATTTATCACCAACACCCTGAAACACGCCGACTTCACGGGGCCGAGCTCATCTAAAATGGTCTGAAGAATTCCACCTACAAAGCTTCAACAATTAGTATCCTCAGTTCCAAAACATCTATTGAACATTGTTAAAAGAAAAGGTGATGTAGCACAGTGGTGAACATGACCCTGTTCCATCTGGAGTCCATTGCAAGTTAATGATTATTTGCCAACAAAACGAAGTTATCAGTTTGAACATTAAATATCTTATCTCTGTCGTGTATTAAATCAAGTATTGTTTGAACATGATTTGCCAATCATTGTCTTCTGTTTTTTTATGTTTAACACAATGTCCCAACGTCATTAGAATTGGGTTTGTCAATCTTAAAAAAAAATGAAAACAACCTGCCTTATACATCATTGTTGTCGACAGCCATGCATTTCTTTTTCTTCTTGTATTTGTGTAGACATGATGTTCTACTTGATATGATATATATTCTTTAAATCTCACATTAAAGCCCATTGTCATTCTTTGCTTTTCAACTCAGTATGACACCGGTGTTTTAGTGTTGTTTTTAAATTGTTTTTAATGACTTTGTCTTGTGTTCAATGCGTTCTCTGAATTTATAGTTTTTGTTGTTTTGTGTTTTTATATTCACTATTGCATGTATTTCCCCATCTTCTACACTTCGCTCAGTATATCCAACCTGGGGATGTTTGGCATCAGCGGCTTCAGTGCTGTGATCAACCCTCCGCAGGCTTGCATCCTCGCCGTTGGGACCTCCCGGGCCGAATTAAGTCTGTGTGAGGACAACCAGACCCTGCGTACCCAACAGCTGATGACCGTCACCTTGTCAAGTGACGGGCGGCTTGTTGATGACGAACTTGCCTCACGATTTCTTGAAAGATTTCGCGCCAACCTAGAGGAACCTCAGCGCATGGCTTTAGCCTGAAATATGCAGACCGCTAATTACGTGGATAAAGCAAAGGCACACTTATGTGACAAAGCCTGCCTCATTACTCTTCGAGCAAGTGTTAGTAGAGTAGGTGCAGGGTCTCTTTTGTGGTCATTGGCAGTCACCGGGCTTTGGTGATGGCAGCGTCAAATTGAGCTTCTGTTAGTTATTGAGGAACATTTGTAACTGCTATTTTAAGTAGTGCTTCATCACACCACTTGTGTTTGTGTATACCTCTTCGAACAGGATACTTAAATTTGTCAGTTCTAATGTGTCTATGCACTGTTAAAATCTATCAATGTAATATAAATAGCATTATCATTTAAATGTCCATCATTTAAATTTGTAATATTTATTGCACCCACTTGAGATGTTTCCTGTTACATTCAGAATTTTATAATTTAATGTTGAGAAAAAACAAAATCACATTACAGTTAAGTTAATTTTGAAATCCCCATGTGAACATATTGCAATCAGTTTGAAACGAGATGCTGTACCATGCAAATAAAAAGGCCGTTTATGGACTATTAATATATGTTGGGAACTCATTTCATTATGTGTTTACAACATGTCAGTTTAGCACACACTAACAGCGCAACCACAGATGTGTTTGTGTGTTTTAATTAGAATACCGAGTATGCATCAAGGAGAATAATTTCATAGAGGCCAATTAGGATAATTTCCTGTGGCAAACATACTGGTCAGCCTGCGCCAGCAGATGTTTATATATGCCCCAAGCGCACTGAACAGCTGTCCTGTCCAGATCTGCATCAGTAGGTGGCGTGGTACTTATTTGATTACATCCAAAGTTGGGCATCACTGTGATACCAGGCTAGGCCGTGTTTTGGTTGCATAAAACAAAAGACTGACTGGTTAATGATGATCATTATTCCCACTGGTTTTGAGAAAATCAGTTTGATCTCTACCATTCTACCCTGAACGCCCAATACTTCACGCACTCCATGCACATTTGCTGTTTGTTTATTGTGGTCAGATCAGAATGCACAAATGAAAAATCATGTGTTGAAAAGCATGGCAAACATTAAGAATTGAGTCCCAAACACGCAAGAGAGCAGAATCTTTGATTAAATCTGACTGAACTAAATTGCTTTCAAATATAGCTAACCTATTGTCTGTTCAAACGGAAAGAAATGGCTTTTTGCCTCAAGCCAACCATCGGGATCTTTTCTTTCCAACATAAATTATGTATTTTTCATCTCAGTTTTATTGTCTTGTTTTAAATGAAACATATTCCTGAGTGAGTGGCCTATATTGAACTCCTAATCCAGCGCTAGTGCTCCACGTGTGTCTAGCTGCTAGCTAGAGATAATGACACCTCACAGATGATCCAGATCAAATGTAGAGACCTAACACAAATGTGGACAAGCGTAAAATACATTTCTGTAAAAAGTGAAGAACCCACTTCAATATGGTGCTCTCGCAGGTACAATATCAGACTTGTTAACGTAATTCCCGGACTATAAGCCGCAACTTTTGTCACAAGCTATCAACGCTGCGGCTTATTTAAGGAAGCGGCCTATATAAAAGATTTTTTTCCACTCGTTTTTTCTTTGTAAATATCTCATGTTACAATGTGGGCACCTGCGGCTAATAGACAGGTGCGGCTTATGTGTGTACAAAATGTTTTTTTTTCCTTTAAAAATGTAGTGAGTGTGGCTTATAATCAGGTGTGCTCTATAGTCTCGAAATTACGGTACTATTGTAGTGGAATATCGCTGCTTTGTATCGTCGGGATGTTGCAAATATCTTTGGCTAACTGAACTCCAAGATAGAGGCAGTGCAATTCTAGATTTATAACACATGACACACTTAACAACAAAGTAAAAGAACAGAACAACACATCAAAACATGTAGCTACCAGCAGCTAATAAAAGTCTCATGTCCTCCACTTTGAACAACAAGGCGTTTGTATCAAAACAAAGTCTGTGTGGAAAGCTGACGCATTTTCCCATTGTAAAACGACTGTTGTCGAATGAGCAGATCCGCTTTAGACAATGCGGACATTTTTGTGTTGCAGACGGAGTTGTGGACATAAAGAGGTTTGTTCCAGTGTATATTTTTCCTGAACTGTGCCCAAGGTTGCATATACAGTGCTGTGAAAAAGTATTTGCCCCCTTCCTGATTTCTGTTTTCGTTGCATATTCATCACACAAAAAGGTTTCAGCACTGTATCGTGTAGGGCTCAGTGAGCAGCATAGGTCACGCTCATGGTCACACAGCATGGAGCAGTGCGGAGGCAGTTGCTTTGGCAGCAATGTGCACGTTCGTCGTGCCAATATTGGATGCGTTTCAACTCAAGTGATGATTTACCAAATGCAGGAAGATCCGAATGACAGTCTTTACTGCCCATCACCTGACTGGCAGGAAAGATCCAATTTAATAGCTCTTTGATAAAAATATTTTTTTAAAAGACTCAATTTCAACCCACACTTGATAGGTGTAAATGTAGTTGATATTGACATGCGTCATGCTGAGACCTTAGTTGAAGTGTTCACCCCCAGTGTATTCTTTCTATGAAGAGGCTTTGTGGCTGATCACACTGACCCAGGATCGGTGGGAGTCTTTCCCTCATCCGTGTGATCCCACGCGCAAGGTTTGTTCAACCATTGTTGACAGGATTTCCTCCGCTTAGTCCATTTTCCCCTCACAAGCAGTTCATCAATTTTGTTGTTGTTTTGGGTTTTTTTTTGTAATGGCAATGCATCGTTTTCACCACGCACATATTCCTCCTTGCCATGTTATCTATGAATCAAATGATCAAGGTTTATATCTCCTGCGCTGATTCAGAGTGACCGAAATTGGTGGGGCAGGGGGCTTATGACGCAGGGCATTCCTGTTGGCTATACAGTGTTCTGTGACACTGTCCAAACAGGGTGGGTCGGCTGTCCCGGCAACCAAAACCAAGCGAGGGCTCTAGCTTTGCTGTCATTGCTCAAAGTCTAGTCTTAGTCCAGTCATGCTCAGTCAGGCCAGGACACTGTTGCGGCGGGACGGACACTCTTTACCCAAGCAAAGTTGTAACCATATCATGAACAAAGGAAATTAGGGGGTTTCATGGTATGCCCAATTGATCCGCGATTATTGTCGAGTACATTAGGTAGCCAATACAGGTACTGAAAACTGTTCTTCACTACAAGCTCCCCTGACCACGTTATTGTGACGACTGAAATACGGATCAAATTTCAGATGACTTTGCAGTTCTGTACAATGAAACAAGCTTGCAGTTGTTTTTCACGCTTTAGGTCACTGTAGGCTGCTTCTGGCTGACAAATGCCAAGTGAGGCAAAGTCAAAGAGCGCAACCCCATTTTGTTTGTCACATCCGTCCATCTGTTCACATACAGTGCCTTGAACAAGTATTCATATCCCTTGAACTTTTTCACATTTCCATACCTCATTTTTATCTATTCCACCAATCCTAAGTAGCACGTGTCGCATATTCGCTGTCATTACAGCCGCAAGTCTTTTGACGTAAGTCTCAGTGAGTTTTGCACATCTAGTCATTGACATTTTGCCCATTCTTTATTGAAAGGAAAAAAAAAAAAAAAAAGATCACACTCGCTCAGCCAAATCAGCAGGAGAGCGTTGGTTAATGGCAATGTTCAAGTCTTGCAACCGATGCTCAATGAGATTGAGGTCTGGACTTTGACTGAGTCATTCTAACACATCTATATTCTTTGATGTAAACCATTCACATTGTAGCTCAAATGTTTTATGTCCTCCGACCAATTTTCATCCGGCATTGCCCTGTTTGTAGCTCCATCCATCTTCCATCAACAGTGACCAGCTTCCCTATCCATGCTGAAGACAAGCAAACCCACGGCATGATGTTTCCACCACCATGTTTTACAGTGCATATGATGTGTTCAGGGTGATGAGATTTCCTCCACACATGGCGCTTTGCACTTAGGCAGAAAAAAATCATCATTGGTCTCATCTGACAACAGCAGCTTGTTCCACACGTTGCACACGATGGAAAACGTGACTTCTTGTACCTTTCTTTCTTTTTTTTTCCCTTGCCATTCTTTTACAGAGGCTAGATTTGTGGAGTTCTCAACTTGTAGCCGTCCAGTGGACAGATTCAGCTAGCTGAGGGGTGGATTTCTGTAGCTCCTCCGAAGTGGCCACAGGCCTCTTGGCTGCTTCTCTGACCACCGCAGTACCGGTAATTTAAATTACAGCTATCGTACCTCTCTTGCTTTGTCTGTTTAGGTGGACAAAGCTACAATGCCTTATTAGGTTTGCAGTTGTTCCATACTTTTCCCATTTTTGGATGATTGATGGAACACTGTTCCATGAGAAGGCTTTGAATTTTCTATCAGTTCATCAGCTCCCTAGAAGTAGCTCTCAGCTTCACCAGGGCTGGTGATGCACATTCAGCCGTTATGATCTCATTACACTGATTCGTATGATATTCACTCATTGTTTGAATCGTAACTGGTTCAATTTTCTCTTGCGGTTCCATAAAACCCGATCTGTGCTTGTCACTTTGTGGTGATTCAGCTCACCGGAGGGAAAAAGTCATGTTCCATAAAAGGAATGCTGTAAAGATTCCATTTGTCTGCCATCACACAGATTTCTCACCGCAGGGACGTCTGATGAGAGTATGTGTGTGTTCTCACTGACTCGCCGTCATGGAAATATTTTCTTTGCTGTATCGGCTGAGTCAGCAGTCTGATGTTTAATTTAGGGCTCAGTCATTTTGCCTGTATACAGTCACCGGTCACCTCAGCTACTGTTTGAAAAAAGTGATTATATAGCTACAGTACGTATTTACATTGTTGGCAGTCCTTCGTCCACACTTGCAAAATTACTTTGTCTTTCTTTGAGTCATGATCACATGAAAAGATCACGTTAGTACTACAGTTCTATGCAGTTTAAATTTTTTTGGATTGCCTGAATAGTAGAGTGACAGTGAACGAGCCTTCCGTGGTATAGAGTTTTGACCAGTATGTCTGTACGTGTCCTTTCAAGGTAGATCACTACAGTATATGGGACTTTGTGTGTGCTCAGCTTTTTTTTAAGTGGCTTTGTCAACTTCAGCCAGACTTACACACGGGTTCTCCAGTCATCATCTCTTAGTTTGGCGTCAATGATTTTCCACTGAGCAAAACTAGGACAGATAATTCTTCTGGCAGGGAAACCAACTTTGCCTGGATAATCATTAGCTTAAAAAAAATCCCTCCTTAGATTTCATTGACAGAGGAAAACTGGTGTGCAGTTGTTTTACTTGAAAGAGGAAACTCCAAACCAATTTCATTCTGGTGCAAGCACGCTTGTTGGGTTGTTTGTATATCTCACTATAGTAACCACCACTGCTTGGGGCTGTGACTGTATGGTGGCTTTGACCATGAAGTCCCCAGTAAAGAGAAGTCACAGGAAGTCAGCAACTACTGTACCTAACTTTTATTTTTTGTTTTTTTGGGTGGGGGGACGGGGGGTTCTTATTTGTTGCTCAGTACAGAAATTTAACCCAAAGTGGATGTTTGTAATGGTTGGAGGAAGTCCCCTTGGAAGTAGATTGTTCTCAATTTCATTTTTTTGCCCAACCAGTTAACTAATGGCTGATTAGAACTTGGATAATATGCCCAATGACTGTGGTTCGTTCTGAGGGGGTGGGGGGTTCTGTTATTTGTCTGCTATACAGTTCCTGCGTTTCAATTTTCAGTGGCTTAATCATTGCTGGGCATTCTTCACATTTGGGATGTCTCAAACTTTCATTCGTAATTGTTCTTTCTGAATCATTATTTACAGCTAGATCAAAACACATCCGAATTTCCTATTGTAACTAAAATATAAAATTGTAGCCCCACCCGCCTCCAGTTAAAATTGAGTACATTTGAATCTATTTCATTGAAAGAGCAAGAAACAGGGCATAAAGTTATGTGAGGATCCCATGATGAGTCACTGACAAGTCATTGCTCATGCTTAGACATTAGACATCCTTTAGTGCTGGTTGATTTGGAAGTTACAGAATTGCAAGCTGCAAGCAGTCATACTTTGTCACCATGTGCGTTTATATGAGGTGTTCCAAAATGTGTGTTGTTATAAAGACACTGTTGATTCCATTAGTTGTTGAGGACGATGTCATGGTTACAGTAATCAATACACAACGCCCTCCATAATTGTTGACACCCATGGTGAAGGTGTTCTTTAGCTTTTAATAAATTCATTTTTCCTCTCAAATAATACAGGGCCAACATTAAAAAAATAGGGCGCTAGAGTGACTTCCACCTTGAATTCAAATGCAATTATTCAGTGGGGAAAAAAGTTCCACAGCAATTTTTTTTTTTTACATCAAATCATGTGTGCCTCAATTATTAGTACCCCTGATGTTAATACTTTGAACAACCCCCCCCCTCCGCAATCTTCTCCTAATTCTTCTAATTCTATGATTGACAAGTTTCGGAAACAAACCAGGTGGTGTGCGGATCCCGCAAACAAAGATATAAAAAGGTTTATTTGCACAAAAATGAAGGATCGGCAAAGTGTGAACAGAAGTCGCTGGCAATAAAGAACCAGGAAAATAAAATATGAACATAAAGCGCATAAAAAGGGAAAAGAAAATTTGACTTCAGAAAATACACAAAATGAAATGGCAAAAGTACAAACACGTGAAAGTTAAACCAGACAAGAATAATTGGAAATCCAAAATACTTACAAAGCAAGGAACTATCGGAAAATGAGCGACTTTGAGCATGCGCGTGCGGTCTAGAAAATAACTCTTGAAGATAACAGCAAGGTCAATAATCCGACCCAAGACTTGGCAGCTTGGCAGTCCTTAAATACTAGACCAGTCTTAATTGGAAACCCAGACAAAGGTGCGCTGCTGTAGAGGAACGCACTCCACTCCAGCCAAAACCATGACAATAATCTCTAAATCATACAGCGACCCGTGTCGTCTTCCTCTGCACTCTCCTCCTTAGCTAACTCCACAGGTCTTCAAGGCGGTTGAGGTCTGAGGACTGAGATGGCCATGGAAGGAGCTTGATTCTGTGTCTGGTGAACCATGTCTGCCATTTTCAGTATGAGAGTATGCTTTTGCAAGAAAAATTGGAATTAATTTTAAGGCTTTTAACACATCTCTGTGTGTTATTGGTGATTTGTGTTCCTCATAATGTCTTGGCACGTGGTAGACTAAGATCGAGCTAGGTCAAAGATCCTCAGAATGATGTCGTAGAAAAAAGTTCGAACAGCTACCGGGACGGAACATGAACATGTTTTCCCTGCTTAGGAGAATGCTAGCATGATTATTCCCTCTCTTTTATTTATGGTGGCCACGAAATTTAAGATGCCAACCAGGTTTTGGTGATTATTTATGCAAATGGTATGTTTGATGGCAATTAGGGTTGGGGTCAGGGCTGTTCTGTTCTTCCACACCAAGGTCCTCCGACTATTGTATTTATCCCCCCAGCTTGGTGCTTGGGGCAGTCGTGACAGAACAGATAGAGGTTGTCCCCACAAAGTTGATGGTGTAGAATTGATTGATTAGATACAAGATATGTCCCAATACTTTATGCATGTCCTTTGGTTGTATTCCATGTTTTCCCCATTTTTGTTTCTAACCTTAGTCTTTTTAAAATGATGTGTGTCTGTGAAATGGATGTGACCGGCTCCCATTGCTGCCAGCCGATCACACTGTGAGATGCACAACCACAGTGAAAGGGAGCAGAGCCAAGAAAATTGGTTGAATTGAAAATGAAGTGCGGCGGGAACAAAAGACCAGATGGGCACACTGAAACTGTTGCTGTCTGAAAAGAGGAAGGAGGGGAGCAAGAGACAGAGAGGGCGGAGGTAGACAAGGAGCCCGATGAGAGGGAGCGATCACCTTCGCCTTTCTCCATTTTCAAACTGGTGGAAAGGAAGAGCGGTGGAAGCAGAGAGGTGGGGCAAGTGGGTGTGTGTTCACATGAGGCGCTCGTCCTCTCCTTGTGTGGGTGCAGACAGCTGCTGCGGTTTGCAGACGCAGAAGAGAAAAGTTGAGCAAAGTCTGAGTGCTCTCCAGCTGCCAAAGCACACAGCAACTCCCTTTCAGAGGAAGCTTCCTTTTTGAAGCGCCTTCTTACTCATTCACCCTCTTTTACACCCACTTACACACGCACACGGCCCATTCCGGTTGAGAGAGAACAGGACTACTTGAGGCTTCATCCTCACCTTTACCTTCAGCTACTCTGCCAGCCAACCAGACGAGGCTTGCCCAGGATGTGGACTCTTCTCTTGGGGGTCACCTTAGGACATCTGGCCTACTGTAGGTCAGAGCAACTTCAAGGTGAGGTGACCATGCCTTCTTCCGTTGCTCTTTTGTTTGAAATGAGCTTTTTCTTCTTTCTTTGTGCCAGACGTACTTGCCTTTGTTTGAACCCATAATTGTTAAATGTCTGGATATTCATGAGAATATAAGTAAAACTAAAAGAGACTTTTGTTCTGTGCGGTTTGTGAAAAAAACCAAAAAAAGATTGGATGCCGACAAGAGTGACTGTGCATGCTCCACAGCAGCGGAGGCAGCCCCATGTCTGGCAGTCTGAGACTGCTGTCAGACACAAAGAAAATGCTTTTTTGCTGTGTCTCTGTCTAACACACGCTAACGTGCCAGGCAGTCGAACCCATTAATTGAATCTGAACATTAAACGCAACCTCCGCAGGTGACAGGCATGATTTTTTTTTCCAATACTTTTTAGTAGGAATCACACATTCTAATGCTTTACAGTCTGCCACAAAGGATGTTCGGCACCAGCCTTCCATGCAAATGTCATCGTTTTTTTCATCTCATATGTGCTCCATAAAGTTAGGTTTTGATTGGATTTGTTGCCCCCAGCGATACGTCGCTGGAGGTGCTGAATCAAACAGGTCCATGTGCATATAGCGTGGTCCCACAGGAGATGGTTGTCAGGTTGTTCGCACAGATTCCCTGCGGCGCCACGGCGCTGAGCATTACGCTCTCTAAATGAGACCTCATTTAAAGGCAAATAGGAGTGTTCCTCTAGACAGCATCTCTGGCTACGGGAGGACTGAAACATATTTGCTCCTCACAAGGCTTCTTGTGAGCAGACGAGGCGGCTTTTGTGTTTGTGCCATTTTTTCCCCCCCCCCAAATGTCAGAGTGCTCATCATGGCCCAGGGAAAAGTCTTTGAACATTAACTCTGTGGTCGCAAGTATATCATTAGTTCGGGCAGTGGGATTCTGTTTCCAGGCTAACCCTTCATGTAATCTCAAATTAGATTCATGGAAGTATTTTACAATGACATCTGTTACCCAGTGATTTCTAACAGCAGCTTTTATGTATTTAATGTCCATATTCCATGATTGTAACCCTCTTGCTGGCCAGATGATGATGACGTTATGATTCATAGCAAAGATGAAATGCACAGCTCAAAAATGCTGTTGGGGAAGAGAGGAAGTGAGTGTCAACCACGTAGACCACACTTTTTAATGCCTTCATCTCTTTTACAAATTACTTCTCTGACCAACCCAACCAAAATATCTAGCCTCTTATTTATCAGATGTATCGTGGGTCAATGTGTAGTGTGGTCAGGGCCCCTATAATCAGAATCGGAATCATCCTTATTGGCCTACTATTTAAAAATACGCAGCAAATTATCTTTGGTAGTTTCAGCCACACGAGTATTACAGTCAACAATCAATGATATACATAACACATAAGTGCAGAGAGTCTCTACGTAATGTAGGGGTACCATTAGTGTTGCTAAGGACGTCACGAGAATGACAGATTTGCAAGTGATGGAGATCAAGCAAAAATAAAGTGACCAGCAATGCTGTTATTATTATACAACAACAAATGTGCAATCATGTAGAGAGTCCTTGGCACCGAGTCCAAACCAGGAGGCCTTTTGAATCCACTGGCTTCCCCTTTGCTACTTCACCACGTGTTTTGACTCATTCAACAGGGGGCCATTAGGGAAGACAGCTGTACGCTTTGCCTTAGTACCTCTTTTTATCTGTTCTTTCTGTCGGCGCAGAACCTCCTTTGGTATCATGCAGCTCCTTTACGTAGCTTTTAGTTTTGAAAAACAACTCTTTTCGACATGGAGTCAAATCCTACAACTGAAATTCAAGTCTGGGTAGAATGTGAGATGTGAGAGCCAGCTTGCATCAAGTTTAGCCTTTCATGGATACTGTATGCAGAGAGTAAGAACTAGCCTTTGTTCAATGTTAGCTACTAAGCTAAGATGGTTAGGGTATGCCACGGCAACAACTATACCGCATATGCATGTCTAATAAGAGCGAGTACACAAACTATGCCAAATAGTGTGAAATTAGCATGTGAAGTCAATGTCATTCTAGTCAATCCTGGTTGGTTAGTCAAACTCATTTAGAAGTCCAATCATTATTCACAAGACATTTTCAATTTGGACTATTTTAGGAAAATATGACAAATGAAATCATGTACCAACTCGTGCCAACTTCTTCATGTGTGTGGAAAATCTTTCAACACCTCTCGGCATCATTTTCAGCACCCACTACTTTTCAGCAAGATTACCCACAAACCATATTCACCAACTGCAACTTTGAGTGGTAGCCAAGCAAAGGAAGTATGTGGTTTGACACATTTTTGTGTTACTGCAGTGCATGTATCCTCATTTCAGTTGTGCTTCCTTGAATAACATCACTTACAGTATTCTGAGCACATTCGAAGTGGATGGAATAGGTGGTCATTCTTGTGACTTTCCACTGTTATCGTAAGAGTGTGTGTGTATGTACACCAAACGTATTTTCAGTAAGATCTCACATTTCACCTGCCACCTATTGTTGTGGTAGGACATGACTGCTGAGCAGAGCAATTCACTAAGATGGATGATGCAAGAGAGCGGAAGCGGAGCCTTGCTGGAGTGATGCTAAGAGCGCAAGGCCTGCTTCTAAAGCAGCTGACGAAATACAACGCGACAAAGAACAAGAACGTGTCTGTTTGAGCGTGACATCCCTTCTGCAGCTTTAATTCTGACCTTATCAATAAAATGTGACCGTGAATGGCGAAGAGCACAGAGAAGACTCAGGGCGATAAGTGAAAACAACATGTCTTGTTGATCTTTATATGGAGGCACTTGGTGTGCTGGTTGTATCCGTGTTTTATAATGACGACAGATCGTTGATAACGTTTCGGTATTTGACACACAAAAACTATTGTCACAGGAAAATCAGATCAGACAGGACAAGGAGAGAAATTGGAGTGTGCCGCTACAGGGTATAACACTCCCGTTACTTCTACATTAAATTACAGTAGATTTCTTTTGCTCCGGCTCGAGGCACCGTGCAGGAATGATCAGTCTCCTTGGCTTCAACTTGGTTCGGTGACAAAAGGAGCTTTGGGGTGGTCACTACCTCAGGATGGCAGGCGTTGGGGCTGCAGAAAGATTCCCATGACTGCTCCCCCTGCATACCAATGAATCCCCCTTTTTTTGGGGCAGTTTTTGCTATTTGTGATCTTGCTGGCTCAGTTTACAAGGGTGCAACGACTGGTGTTTTTCAGCCCCACTTTCAGGGACGCTGTGCTGTGTGCCAGCATGTGTTAAGTTTTTCTGTCAGGTGTGCGTGTGTGTGTGTGTGTGTGTGCTGTGGGTAGGGAGAGGCCTGCAGCAACCGCCTCTTGTTGCCCAACTGCCTCTAACAGCAGAGAGCTCAACTGATGTCAATAGTTTATGACTAACCGATACTATCTTGTCAAATGATAACGGGTTAAATGTAACTTGTATCTTATACACAAGCTGTATACTCAAAATATATATATAAAAAAAAAAGATATTGCGGTAGTAGTAGTAAATCACAATGCGTTTGCATTTACTTGTTTCCCTAGCCTACATGTTGTAATACAGGAGTAACATTTATGAAACGGTTATTTCCTCAACGATGTACTTCCTTTTTTTACACTCCACCAATAGAACCGTTTGCCTTTTGTGTTCTAGTTAAGCTTGTGGTACATGCGGTGGTACAATGATCTGCAATACGCATGTCATGGCGTCGAATACATCATAGGCCACTTCTCGAAATCCCAAATTGGTGGCTAACAATATTTTGAAGGTCAGATTTTCTCTTTGGGAAGTTATCAAAAACAATTTGGTTAAAGTACTGTACTTGGAACTCATAAGTCTGCTTTATTAAATTATGAATTTTGTTCTTTTTCATTTTTGAAAACGTAATTAGCTTGAGATGAGGAATGAGCTATCCTCTTGTTATGTATGGGTTGCCATGGTCACCGTAGGTCACAATCTCCAACCTGACTGAGTAAAGTGGTGTTTGTGGGAAAACAACTCCAGAATGTGGTGTGTTAATTCTAATATCTTATTTTATGACATAGGATGATGAATTACGCCGAACTCATCAGTATTTCCACTGAATATCCCGTTTCATCTTGTTCACGTTTCAATGAACGGTAGCTCTTTTTTTTTTTTTGTTTAAGGAAATGCTAGCTTTTAGTGTTACTGCTGAATTCTAATCAGTTCATTTTAAAGCTTTCAATGGTCAGACACAACCATTGTCAGAGGGGATGACGAGATGCTCACTGTGTAAGTTATTTCAGTTACTGTTTTTTGTTGTTGTATTTTTTTTTTTTTTTTTTTTTTACATTTCCCAACTAAGTGTCGTTTTTCACTTTCATTGTGAATGCAAATGCTCGCCTCCTCATGTCAGGGAATCCCCTCAACGTTTAGTGTGATAGAAGCCGACACTAGCTGCTGCCTGCTCTTTTCTTTTTCCCACTTGCTTGACAGACTTCAATTTTTTTCCACCTGAACTGGTAGAAGTCATTCTCATTCCATTCGTAGTTTAACAAGAGTTTCTTACATTCTAACAATCAGGCTACAAGTGCTAATGAATAATGTAAAAAAATACATTCTTTTGTTTTTACTTTGTTGAGTCTGTGTGTGTCTTTGCCTGAGGCCCTACACTGCAGACACATGACGCTTTTGTTTTCCGCCTCATCCTAACATTGTCTCATGTTGAACTCATGTGTATGTCCATGGAATGCGCCATCCCCGTGTCAAATCACTTATTTGCTTATGAGCCACTGAATGGTTGTAAAAGGGAAAAGGGATCTCGTGGCCCATGGACTGGACACAAATAAAGAGACTGGAAGCCACCAACACATCAATACTATGATTATGCTGGCATGCACATGATGTGACAGATCTAATCTAATGATAATGGGCTGAAAAACAAAATGCGATACAGAAGAGAAATGAAAGAGATGATGGTTAGTTGCTTTCAGTCTGCGTAATTTCCACAGATCTATCATTGATTCTTCTGTATTTTATATTTTTTTAATGGCTGGTTTTCACTTAGAGTAATAGTAACAAGGTGATTGTCCTAATTAGGGTTGCGGGTGAGCTGCAGCCTATCCCAGATGACTTTCGACACCCTTAAACAGACACCATTCACACCTTTGAGATATTTATTAGTCTTCAACTAACTGAATGTATGTTTTTGGAACATGGGAGGAAGTTGGAATGCCTTGTGTAACTCCTACAAGCACAGGGGAAACATGCAAGCTCCTCACAGGAGTGCATGAGCTGCGATTCAAACATGGAGCATCTCAACTGTGAAGCAAAACACGCCAAGCTGCTCATTTGTACTCAAACTACTGTCAAATTGTTATTGATACATTCTCTCTTTTTAATCACAAACCCTGTTCTGTTGAATTCTTCCCACAGTCAATTCTCGCAGCTGCAGCTATGCCGGAGTATTTATTGTCGAAGGTGAAGCTCGTCACTCTCTCACCTTTGAGAATGCTCAAAAGGTGTGCAAGCAGCTACAGACGACAATGGCAAGTCCAGAGCAAGTCGAACGGGCCTTTGACAAAGACATGGAAACCTGCAGGTGAAAGCACAAACCTTTGATATGCTCGCCCCACTCAACCATTCAGCTCCTTTCTTCATCTGCTCAACTGTGCCTTGTTATTAAGTTCTCTGTTTCTGTTCATTCACTGTTGGCCTTTTGTCACTTGATGTTATCATGAAGCCTGCTTTTTATTTTTTTTAATTCTGTTTTTGGGGGGGTTTACATTGTAAATGTTTCCCCTGCCTTCACTTCTAATATGTTCTGTTTCATTTGAGTCTGAGACATAACAACATGGGCCCGATTTTGGTAGACTCGACCATGTGCTCAGCATGAAAACGCGCGGAACTTCATTTTAATCCCAGTCTCTCTGGGGTCGTGTTGCGCTCATGGGGCATGCCGGCGCACAAAGCAGTCTTGCCCTCGACGCACCTGATAATTTGCTGACACAATGTAGTCTGCACTTGGCGTAAAAGCAGGAGCATTGTCATTTTCGTGCCGTCAGATACACACCAAGATAATGAGTACAAAAAGGGTTATAAGAAACATTTGTAGCGAATCACTTCCCAAAATGTGCCACACATGAGCCTTCAAGATCAGCAAAGCGAATTTACCAATCATCAAGTATCATATCTTTTTATATGGAACCACTTTCAAACTTTTAGGCAATTCAAACGCAGTCACTTTGTTCCAGTAAAACAGCTCATCAGCACTTCAACCGTGAGGATCACCGAAGAGAATCAACACTTTGGAAACTAAGGGCCCATGCGTCGTTGAGGTGTCGTCATTTTCCCTGGATCCACATCAAAACATATCGAATCTTTTGCAACCTTACTTTGAATGACGTACAGTATGTGAATTCATTCAAGAGATAATGCAACGTAACGAGTCATTCTCAGAAGATGTCGGCCAGCAAAGGAGCATTGGATCAGCGTGACAAGGTTGTATTGGAGAGCATTCGTCATGCACGTATTGAACAGCGAATGTTGTCGGTAAATAGGCCAAATCGGATCTTTGAATGATGGTGTGAATTTTATGCAATAGATCAGACAAATGCTGTGATGTTGGTGAATTTACGAAGTCGGCCGCGATCACAGTCGTTCTTCAAAACGGGTTTATTTTAGACAACAATATTACTCTTCCACTTCCGGCTTCCATATGTCAACTTTCTCAAATTCACATACTTTCTGTCTCTGAAAACAATAATAGTTTGTCAAGGTCAATTCTTGTGTCTTGTCAGGAACGGCTGGATCAGCAACATGAGCTACGCTATCCTCAGACACACACACCACGAGAACTGTGCTGTGAACACGACCGGTTTATTCATTTATTCTCGTGACGACCCAAATGAAGGTCTTGATGTTTACTGCTATGATGAAACAGGTTGGTTTTTCGGCAAGATTTTTCTTCCCATAACTAAGAATGTTGTTCATATTCATAATCTGCATCTCGCTGATTACCTTTTGTTTCCGTCTCAATTTTTATTTCGTCTATTTTGTCCATGTGCTAGCTGGGCCCGAGATCAACTGTGAGAAGGCATTTACAAATTATGAACAAGGTAAGAACAGCCATCCATGGATGCACCTGTTTTGAAATGATACACAAAAACATGCCTACGTCACATAATTTCAAGAATGTAAAATTATGAAAACATTTGATCAACTACATTTCTACTTCAAATTGAAAGAACAATGAAGTACAATTAATCCAAGTGAATAGTCTTAAGTGTACATTTGGTAATAGGCAAACACAATAAACATAGGTACAGGACTGTGCTAAACGTGAATAATACTTGTAACATCCTGTTTGGAAATCATTTTCTTTACTGTGATCAATGAATGTAATAAACTCCGAAATTATAGGATGGTTTTACTTGTCAATGTTGTCGACCGTGACAGAATGCCATGGCGATGAAGAAACACCATTTAAATGCAATGTACCATCCAAATGATTTTGGATTAACAGTTGAAAATCCGGGATGAGGTTGCATTTCATGGGCATGTAAGACACTAATTTGATATCAATGTTAACAGTCATATCAATGTTTTGTTTTAACTTGTCTGGCCCAGTTGTGCAATTATGACCTTATCTCAGCTCATTGTATGGTTTTGTCTTTATGGGGGCGCCAATAGCTGAGTCCCGAAGTGACTTTGCTTTCACTCCGGAAAGGCTGAAAATGCAAATCCAGCTGAGTCGAGACTTGAAACACAAACACGAGGCAAGACGTCGAACCGCGCCACGCTCTGTATTGATAGAGCTTTTAAATGTGAAGATAAAGAAAATGTTGAATCATATCAATTATAGTGGGTGTAAACTGACTCGCACAAGAGTATCTATCTATGTGTCATCGATGGCAATGTTTTTATGGCGTGGTCTATGAACTACATGTGGTCCAAGAGTAAAATTGCTATGCAAATTTTAAATTGATTTTTTTTTTTTAAATGGGTAAATGGGCTTTTACTTTGATAGCGCTTTTCCACCTACAATGCAATCGCAGCGCTTCACACTGACTCCTCATTAGCCTAATGATGATGCAGGAGCAACTGGGTGTTCAGTATCATGCTCAAAGAGACTTTGACATGCAATACAATACAATACAATACATCCTGATTTGTATAGCGCTTTCACAACAGCTGCAGCTGTAACAAAGCGCTTAACAAAACAGTTAACATAAAGTAAAATAATCAACACAACACATAACATAAAACACGGACAGTCGTGCAATCCTAACCACCTTTCCCTCATACGCTTTGTTGTTTAAAGCAGTTTGAGATGAAAGGGGCGAGAATCAAAGTGTCCTTTCACCAGTGGATCAGAGACGTCATGCTCAAAATGTGCAAACGCCGGCTACAAGCTAAGTTTCAAAGTCAACAAGAAGCTGTAGCATCCATTGACGAAAAAAGAGATTGGTTCACTTCTCCTGTCCCATGTAAATCCATTTCAATTCCAGCGGCGACTCTCAGTTCCAAATACACTCCGCGCCGACGCTACTCTCTCCTCATCCTCAACTTTAGCAGCCATCCATCCAGCCGCATCAATGCAGACAGTCCAACAGCGCCAACATCTCCACTGAACAAAACGGGGCTGTGAAAAATGCTGCCCATTACAGGCGCAAAAAACACAAGCACGCCGGGGCTGTCCAGCTCCAACAGTCAAATGGCGCCGACATTCCTTCCAATCAAAATCTGTGCTGGTCCAGCCATGCTGCCGAGAAGGCGCAACCACCAAGCACAGATTCTTCTCTTTTGACAAATGTCGTGGCCAAGAAACGCTGAAAACAGTCCACAACAGGTTCACACGACGAAACAACAAACACCATGTGACAAAACAAAGGACAAAAACAACAAAAAAGCAAGGCTCTTGAAGAGCACTTGCCAACGGCTGTCTACTCGGGCGCCATCTTGGGGAAAAAAAAAAGGTCACATGTGCTGGGAATCGATCACACAATCTCTGGGTTGCGAGACAACCACTCATCCACAGTGCTGTTTTAGTCCTGCCCAAAACATCTGGAAAACAGTTTAGCTCTACCCATCCATTCATTTTCCACCGCTGATCCTGAACAGGGTCACGGGGGGCTGCTGGAATGTATCCCAGCTGACTTTGGGCGTAAGGAAAACTACACCATGAAATGGTCGGCCGTCAGTTGTAGGGCACATATAAAGACAAACAACCATTCATACCAACAACCACACCTTTACCGGGTGGTAGCTGATCCCACGCTGTCCGCACACAAGCCAGGCGAGTGTACCACTACACTGTCAGTGACCCAGTTTAGAACACTACAATTCAGTTCTACATAGTTCTCAGACTTGGCACGTGTTTTAAATACAATTATAATGTATTTAGAAACAATTCTCTGCATTCACTTTACAGGATTTTTTAAAGTCAGTTGATTAAAATCTTCCATTTCTTGAATTTGTGGGATCTTTCAATAGAGACAGACAAACCCTTTTCTGTTGACTTTTAAGTCCATTTTGCTGCTGTTATTATGTATTATTTCAATGAGGACTAATGAGCCTGACCCGGAAGAAGCAATTTTTTTAGGCTGGAAATAAAAGCGGAAATGATTGATCTCTTCACTCATATTCATCTTTGATCTCAAACAAAAATGTCTTTTTCGAAAGCAAACAAAAACAGAATTTGCCTTTTCAATATAAGTATAATATATATTTATTTATATACTTTTGTCTTCTACTTTCTCCCTTTCATAATTTTGCTGTTGTAAATTGGGAATTTCTCCATTGTGGGACAAATAGAGGTTTTCTTCTTATCTTTTCTTATCTTAAGCTTGACAGCATAGTATAGATGTGTGATTGCATAAACATTTCTTCTCCTTTGTCGGTGATTGCTTCCACAGAGCCTGGGCTGCAGGTGTCCACCCCAGCAGAGTCAGGACACTTTGTTGGGGGAACTGTTACGACACCATCCCCTGTGTCGGGGGAAGCCACAGAACAGACAACAGTGGAAGATAGTTCACTCGGATGGGGCGACAATGAGAGTGCCCTGTTCCCACTCACTCCCGGAGGCTTCGATCAGTCCACCGGATCTGGGCTACAGCCACCCGGGTCTGAGGAAGATACACTGTCAACCCTCGCCCCTGTAAGTGAGACCGATGTCCCGCAGCCCCTTCCAGACGACAAAGAGGAGGGTGTGAAATTGCAGCCTGAAAATGAGGATGCCATAGCGGAGCGTAAGTAGCACCGCAGCAAGCCGAGAACATAATTTTATCACACACTTGACTATGCAACAATTGCATATGAATAACTGTCTGTGTACTGGAAGTAATCGTTCATAGATTTGAAAGAGAAAAGTCACTGTTGCAACAACTTTATGATTGTACTGAATACAGTATTAATAACGTGGTGCCCTCTGGTGTTTGAGTCTTTTACACTAATTCCTTCCTCAATGCAAACTCGACTAGACATACTGGCTGTTCATTTCTTCCTTCAGACTTGATTTCAAATCAAGTCAAGTGAGCTTTTATTGTCAAATATGCTCTATGTGTAACATAAAGCACAGATGAAACTACTTTCCTCTCTCAACCACAGTGCAAACATGTAGTGCATTGAACACACACAGCTAAAATGTACGTTAAAATTCCATAAGACATAAATATATAAATATGTTAAATAAAAATAAATAAACAAATAGCAACAACAATAAATGTATACTTTTGAGCTTTACTAAAAATTGCTGAAACCAAACCCAATGCACAATGGTCTGAATCCTGACAAAAGGAAATGAATTGTACACATTCACTTTGTGAAGGGTGTCTCATTTGGTTAATAGTCATTTTGAGTCTTCCTAAAGACTCAAAGAAACGTAAAGGTCATCAGTTAAGTCGGGAAAGATGGATATCCTGCACAGCTTTCCAATCATTTCCAGGTAGCTTGTGATCAATGTCTAGTAACCCATTTAACAGGGTACACGGCAAGACGGCAGTTTCTTCATGATGTTAAATGAGCGGATAATTAAACCCCGTGAATAATTTGATTAGTCCAGTGGTTAGCACATCGACTTCACAGTGCAGAGGTACCGGGTTCAATTCCAGCTCCGGCCTCCCTGTGTGGAGTTTGCATGTTCTCCCCGGGCCTGCGTGGGTTTTCTCCGGGTACTCCGGTTTCCTCCCACATCCTAAAAACATGCATGGCAGGCTGATTGAACACTCTAAATTGCCCCTAGGTGTGAGTGTGGGCATGGATGGTTGTTCGTCTCTGTGTGCCCTGCAATTGGCAGGCAACCGATTCAGGGTGTCCCCCGCCTACTGCCCGAGGACAGCTGGGATGGGCTCCAGCACCCCCCGCGACCCTTGTGACTATAAAGCGGTTCGGAAAATGGATGAATGAATGAATATATATGTACAGTATTTTTAAACATGTCAAAAAATATTTACGAGTTGAGCCATCAACACCGTTAAGTGAGTGCTTGCTAATTACTTTTTGTTGAGTGATTCCTAATTACTTTTGAATAAGAGATGGGTGGAATTGCTACTTTTTTTAATTATTATTATTTTTTTTTTACTTGAAGCTACACAACAACCCCCACACGGCAAGAAAAGGATGAATGAAGTTGTGCCGGGGGATCAACGGGAGGGCAACAATTCCACGAGTGAGCAGCCACAATGTGTTTTTGTCAAGTCATTCGTAATTGAAATGAAACAGCAATTTTTCTTGGTACGTCTCCCTGCAGACTGGCTCGTCATCATCCTGGTGCTTATAGCAGTTGCCGCAATCCTCTTTGTGTGTGTGGCTTTTGCCAAAAGAAAGAGGTAAGCACCTAGAATTCCAGTCAGACAACGTGGAGAAATTCATGTGGATGTGCTCTTGCAGCTGGTGCGGCAAGAAACAAACTCTGATGATCACCTCCAAAGAGAGCGAGGGGAATGGAGCAGCGGGAGCTGGAGCTTCCAGCTCACAGGCCCAGGAGAGGGAGCAGGAAATGGTGACCCTCATGAACAAGGAGAAGATCCAGGAGAACGGCAACACTGAGGAGTTCACCGTCATCAAGCTGGAGGAGACGCCTGATAAAGAGGCGTGAGGGAGAAGGTGCAGGCAGTGGAAGGGGGATTTGGGTCGGGCGGTTGAACAGGTGGCGTTCGAAATTGCTTTGGTGGTCAGCACTGGATGGACACTGAGTGGGTGTTAGCACATAGATATGAGTGAGTGTGTGCGTTTGCGTGTGAGATGTCAAAATGTAAAAGTGGCACTGTACTGCAGCAAGGCTGCTGGGTCTTTCCAACCCTCGTGTGCGGCATATTGTTTCTCCAGTGCACGTTTTAAGTGAGGACGGGGATGTGAAGTGGGTGTGAGCTTGTCGTGTGCTAATGTTTGTGCATGTGTTTTGTGTGTTTAGGACAAAGGGGATGGGTGGGGGAGGGGCGGGGGAGCAGAGAGACAGATTGGAATGATTTGGTCAATGAAGATGTTGATTACATTTTTGTTTTTTTTAGAAGCGAGCGTCAAAACGCACATCAGCCAACTCGACAAAATGCCCTATGACAATGACATTGCATTTGAAAAAACCCTGTGTCATATAAAATATGAGCAAAACAATCTTTTACAACATGATTTCATTGTTTTGATTTATTTGCCCATTTTGTTTTCCACTGAACTCGTTAGTTTTTCATTTTTTTTTCCAGACAGCCAGAAATGTCACTATTTTGGATTTTGTTGGACTGTACATAAAACTTCTTTTTCTTTTCTTTTTTTTAAACACTTTAGCTTGAACTGTCCTTGCTATCATAGCTACCAGTTTTCTAGTATCTGTATAGCTTTGTATTCCTGTTCAATAAAACAGTGTGGCAATTTCCTTTTTGAATTCTTTGACTGAGGATGTGAGTTGATATCAAGAACATCTTGTTGTAAAGAACACCTAAAAATGTGAAAGAAGGGAAAAAAGCGATAGACCGATTCTACTCTAAAAAAGGAGGAAGCCGGGTTTCCATGGCAACAGGGATGTGATCCTCAACATTCTTGCACAGGAAATCAAGATTGAAACAAAGATTCATATTGTCACGCATTTTAGCTATGTATTTATTTCTCGATCATGTACTTGAATGTAATGTAATGCACAGTGCAAATGTCGTGATATTAGTCACTTGAATCACAGGATATATTTATTATTAATATATACTTGGATATATTACTAATTTTAAAAAATCATTTCAAATAACAAACAACAGTCAATATTAGTTATGAATCAACATTTATTAGTTATATTTGTATATGTACACCAAAGGTACAGCACATTTAGATATGTAGAAATAGATTTTTTTTTATAATGGATAGCATAAGATCAAGGAAAGAATTCATATACTTTTTTTTGTTCTTTTTTCTCAATATCGCCCTCACATGTACTTTCTGCCTTTACATCAAAATAAAAGCAAAAGCTTTACAAAGAAGGGAAGGCCTAGAAAAGTAACATTAGGAAGGCAACTTCCTATCGGTGAAGTCATGATTTTTTTAGATGTTTCTTCCGCAAAAGAACAGTAGAAAATAGCGGCGATGGAATTAAGGGCCCGTCACAGGAGTACAGTTTCCTTATGAAGTTTCAGCAGGTTCCAGGAGGGTTTTATGCATATTGCGCATTGCGTAGAAAGTGAAAAAAGGCATGCGGGTAAAGGCAGATTCACTAATGGATTTGTTGGCGATGGCATGACGGTCTCACGAGAGGTTGCATGTGTGGCACTTCAAGAACCTAAAAGCAATCTCGAGATCCGTGATATGCTACGATCAGAGCACTGGACTAAACGTCATGCCGATACTGTATATGAGAAAAAGGCCAGTCCTCGCCCCAGTAAACAGATACAATGATTCACCTGAGGAATTTTGCTCAATTTTGTGACGTGAAAGTGTTGAAATCGTTCACTTATCAACTGCTGGGCGCCATTCGATGCTACACTCGAGCCTACGTACGGACATTTCACCTTCTTTTCTGCAACTTTTCTCACAGTTTCCACCAAATAAAGTCATGTTGGCCCCTTTTAACAAACGCTTCCTTCTCTGGCTTACTCTTGTTCACACCCTCTTGTGTTTTTTATTTTTATTTGTTCTCCTCATGCAAATGTTGCTTCAGGATATTCTGCATTGCCACGGGTCAGAACATTGACATATCTATTTCTGTACAATGACAATGAATGAACACTGCTTATATTGTCATGGAACAAACATTCAAAAAGGCTTACATTAGATACAAAAAAGATATTTATACTGTATATTTTTGAGTGACATAAGTAAAGCACCTAATTATTAGCGAATAAAAAAAAAATGAAACGAGCAATTTAATACACAATTTCCTGCGTATACATTTTGGCTACTCTAGTTCTACTCAGGACATACATGATATATTTTCTCTAGGATTACATTTCAAATGTAACAGCGATAAAACTATATTCCTACAAACCATTTCATCATTCCCCAACGGGGAGAATGGATGAAAACAAACACCGACAACAAAACACTGTAGACTACAATATATACACAAAAGTGCAAGGAGGCACTTCATATATCATGCTTTTAAGATAGTGGTGCAAAAAAAAAAAAAAAAAATCATGGGAACACCTGATGCTTGTCGTCATGTTTTAGTCATCAAACAGGCATGTTTGTCTTGTCACCATCACCTTAAAAAAAAAAAAAAAAAAAAAAAAAATTTGTTCACAATATCAGTCATCATTTCATTTTATTCATGCTTCTAAAATAGTTTGAACATAAACGTGGTCCAACTCTCATCATGATCGTGCTCATGGCCTCCTGAACGGAGAAACTTTGTTCCTGGAGGAAACAAAACCATATGGTCTAACTGGAAGGGCCCATTAGGGTGTCAGCGCTGTGCTCTTCAATGTTTTGTCACCTCGATGGTTTGTATAAGCGTGTTCATATGCTAATGTGTGCCACAAATGTGCATTGTCGGGTATGGAAGCCCACTACGATGGCTTGTGAGCGAACTCAGCAATACTGAGTGGTGCAATAGGTATTTTGTTAGCTTTTCTATTGTTCCGTCGACATTTAGTCGTGTGCCTTAGTGTGACGCAGACATCTTCGATGCCGGGTTGTCATTAAGCACAAATGGAGAGAAACAAGACAGGAAGGAATAACAAGAAACAGAAACAGAATTCTCACTCATACGGAATAAGAAACACAATTGTCTGTTCGTGCCGATGCTTATTTGAGGGATCGAAACTAATATTACCTGATTTGGGTGAAAAGTGAGGGAATATATGTCCACTTTTCTGTGGAGTGAAATCATGCATATGGGCACACAACTGCAGCATCTAGGGTTTGCAGAAACAGTCTTGGGCTCTGGCGGCTAAAAATACGGAATCGTTTGCCTTTGTACAGCTGGCAAAACAAGAATCTTCGGAGGCTCCTCAAGGATGAGTATAAATATCTCTGGTCTGTCTCTGTTTGTGCATGTCAACAATCCCATCTGACGTCCATTAGCTGCACTTTCTCTCATCTCTGTCTGTGTTTCATCCAAACTAATGTGATCCTTAGCGCAGGTAGAGGATCCGTCAACCACCGGAATGTAACATTCAGGCGGGAAGCCTCTGCACATTGTCAGAGTTAACGTCGGGATGCGTTGTGCGATTAAGCCATCGTTTCCTGATAGGAAGAGGTCAGGTGAGGAAGTTAGCAGGATTCCTGCAAAAGTCTTCTTTCTAATTTTACAGCAGTAAACGTCGAGGCCTGAGAATCTCCAGTTCTCTCTTGGAACCTATGTGCAGTATTTGCATAATTTTGAACGTGCCGCCTGCGGGCACTTCAAGTCGATGGCTCGATAGCTTTATTTTGTGCCGTGTGCTTTGTGCTTTACATCATTTATTGTTTGTGCCATCATGGATTTTAGACAAGCCAATTCATCATTGGCGTTCCAATCCAAATTTAACTTTAATGTCATTGGTGTCACTCAATTATTTTGGGCAGTGATATGCTGTCTTTTAAAGGTGGAAATTTATTGGAATTAGAGATTGTGTCAATTTAAACAGACATTAATTCTGGTCTCCAATATGACTGTGGCAGTTTAAGCACCTTTTTAGAATATTTCCTCCTGCCTGTTCGGTCCCGGAAACTCACTTCACCGTTCTTCTGAATGCTCGAACACACACACACACACACACGCACACGCACACGCACACGCACACAAATGCCCCTTTCCTAAATTAAAGTGAATAAAAAAGGAAACACATAGTGTTTTGAATTTGTCTTCATGGTACGATTTGTGCTTTAATGTTCCGTCATAAATATTGTGCTATAAGGCTCAGTAGAACTTGCCCCTAACCCTTTCATCAATTCTGGCAAATACTTGGTAAATGTAGCCAGGTGCATTCTGAGACTAAGAATAAACATGATCTTGGCAGGCGTGCTTATGATGGCACGAAAACGGAAGTGAAGCGAGGAAGTGGTCGCCATGACGACTCCCACTCTCGTTACAATAATCAATCTCCCTCTGAGGTGCTTCAAGTGGAAGCGTAATGTATTGCTAGCAATAGTGTGTTTCTCACGTTTTTCTCTTCCTTCCCTCCTTTGACATTGAAGTGTATTGTGCAGGAGTCTGCTATTAAGGACATAATTGTGCTCGAACAGGAAGCGCGTACCGCTGTTTCACCGTTAAGTGAATTAGTAGTAGTTATAAGTCAGAGAGAGAATTAAAAAAAACACCTTAAAGGGACTACTAATAAAGAAAAGTAGACTACATCAAAAACATTAGTAGTTCTGTTCATATGACAATTTTTTTTTTCATTCACTCATTTTTTTTTTCCCATCACCAGAAAGGAAAGCTTGTGGAGCCCAGGAGCAGGAGATCTCTGCACTGCCATTATTCATGTTTCCATGGTTCCTCCTCAACAAGCGTGCACTCCGCAGCAGAGTAGTTTGTGGCAGAGGTTACCTGCAAGCAGTTAGCACGCAAATCTAAACAACACGTCTGAGAAAAGGACGCAACACTCTTACATCCACGCATTTACATTTGGGAACTTGGCACCACAGAATTTGCAGTGCCCAGAGGCAGTTAGAATTAATTCAGCTTTTGGAAATGTGCCACTAGGGAACATCTAAAGTTGAAAGGTCCAGAAATTCTACAAACTAAAATTTGAATTGATGTGGTGTGACATTATTCTTGTGCGATCTCAGTATATTATGAAAAGGAAAATATACGAGCAGGCTCGCATTCCAATGATAGAAAGCTGGATCAAAATCAGCACCTTTTCTTAACGATGTTATGTTTTACAGTGTTGAACAATTTTACAGTTGACAATGTGCAAAACTGCAATTCCTGAGGCACATTGTGCCTCATTCATCAATAAGGTGTTTTGATATTAACAATTGTCGACGTATTTTATTTCGAATAAGGATGTTAAATTCAATTCATTCGAATGAAGACTTTATGATGGCGAAAGACTGACCCTTTGAACAAATTATTTAAAATCCAAACAAATCAGAGCGCGACGAGCATCAAGGAGAGGACTGTGTTCAATCTTAGACGTTCCACTTAAACTGGAATATCATGATGACATATATACTGTATAATCAATATTCAGGTAAATCCACTGATTTCCAGTAAATATGATTAAGAAGCTAGAATGGTGGTTCACACATTCTTTTTCATTTTGGGTTCCATGATCATGTGTACTGTTCATTGCAGTATTTTGACAAAATATAAGCAACAATATATTTAAATGCTATGAATGGAACTGGAACTCCCAGATGGCCGCTGATGAACATGCATATAGTGGTCGTATGAATGGAGGCACCTGAGGACAGACCAAACATTTAAAATAACCAAAACTAAATATACAGTACATGAAAAAAATTGCATGCAAAACTGTGGCATGAAAGTGACACAAACGCTACAGATTGAATGCACGTCGGGTATTTTGCAAACCCGCTATATCATGTCCACTTTCAGCAGGTGAGTCATGCCATGAACAGACAACAAATTAACCAAACTAGACAGAGAAGCAAGTGGAAATAGCAAGCCTTTGGTCTGTTTGCAAGGGGATGTAGATTATCACTCTGTACAGATTGCTGGTGCCAGTGTTACCAGGCAACACCTTCCATCCTCTAATAAATGAATAGGATACATACATGTTGGTGTTCATGCATGTGATACATGTGTTCCTGTATTGTTGTGAAACCTTTAACACATTCAAATAGAGGCCTGAATCTGCACTGTTTTTACACCACACCAACCCTCGCAATTAGGCCAAACCCGCTTTTGTCTAATTTACGAATCCCTGTGCGGTAATGACTCAATGACTGTGTGGTAGGTGTGTCTCGGGAATATATGAGCTGCCAATTATCGGCAACATTTCCCATCTTTGGATTTCAAATGCCATTGCAGCCATTGGAAATCTGTTAATAATTAAAATGAGATATAATTAGATGAATGGAAGGGTCCGCGTGGGACACTGCACACAGGAAAAGAAAAAGTGTCTTTAGCAACTGAGACAAATCAGGGGAACATTTTCACATTAAGATGGGCTTTAAAAATGGATGCAGCGGAAACTTTTGATCGATGTGAGATCCGCTGATCCAACATTGTTCAGTGATGGCCTTTTTGAGCCAATTCACAACAGATTATAAGCATCAGAAAATGCACATGATGCTTATCAAATGTGCTGCGACAATTTGATTTCTTAGAAGTCATTTTGAATGAGTTGTTTTCTACACATTGACGAGACAAAAGCCGCTGTTCCAAAAGAAGTACAGAAGAACATGCATTGTCCTCATGCATCACTTGAGTTATCAAGTTAGTGTGTTAAAGTCAATGAAACAAAGGTGCAGTGAATTGAAAGAGCCAAGCAATAATGTAGGGTGACCGTGCAATAAGCGAGATGGTTATATACAAGTCTCTAGATCAGTAAGCATTAATTGTACCTTGCACTCATCTACTACGACAGAATTGTTAGCATTTGCGGTAGGCGTTAAGACGCACTGGTTGGAATTGTTTTCGTGGTGGTTCTTCATCTCGTCGTAATACGACTGGGTCTTTGTCATTTCAATGTCGTCTGATTTAGCCGTGTGCGCATCCAGCTCTTCAAGCTCCGCCTTGGACATGTGGTACACGATGCCTGCACCGTAGGAGTCCCCAACCACATTCACGGAGGTCCTGAACCGGTCCCTGAGGAGACAATTTGCATTACAAGAAGAAGCAGGATTTTGAGTTGCTGTTTCCGGATAACACAAAGCTGTGGCTGCTCTGCAGATCAAGACTGGATAGTGGGCAGCGCCCCACCAGATTGCATTGGATTTCATTCTCTTTAGGTCATATAAATCGTTTATTTAATTTTGAGATTCAGAGGTACAGTTTGCATTCAGAAACATGTCAAATATTGCTTTAAGTTAAGCGTGTGTCTGTCTTCCTGTCCTTATTGGCAGTCTCTCCTGCAACTGAGTGAGGGTGACTGCCATATGTCATTTTTAAGCAAGCAGTCAAGTTACAAAATGTTATGAATGGTATTGAGAAAAATCGTTTTTTTTTTCTTTTTACTGAAGGCAATCGAGACCTCAGACACAGAGAACACAAGTGGTAAAACGCTGTACGGTGATGGACTGAAATCACACAGTGCCTGCAATGTCCCCCTGTTCAAGAAGGCACATGTAAAGGCCTGCATTGTCTTTGCCAAAAAACAACTAAATGGCTCAGAGAAGGCTTGGCAGAATGTGGTGTGTTCAGATGAAACGGAAGTTGAGCTATTTGGCATCAACTCGACCCACCGTGTTTTTAGATTGAAAAATGACCCCAAAACACCACAACCACAGACAAACCCTAGAAGTGGAAATATTGTTTCGGTTCTGTTTTTCTGCAAAGGGTACAGACCAACTTCAGCACATTTAGGGTATCGATAAAACTAACTTTTTGTCAGAACACTATAGATGGGTTGTAGATGGGTCTTCCAGCATGACAGTGACTCAAAAACATCTTACCAGGGCTGCAATGGACTGCTTGCGGAATATTCATTTCGTGGTGTGGACTAGTCTATCCCCAGACTTCAACCCAATAGAAAACTTATGGAGGGTGCCAAAGACTTGAATTTCCAAGTGGTAGCCAAGAAACTTGAAGAATTTAGGGATTTTCTCGAATTGGAATTTGACCAAAACCATTTCTGGGTCATGTGCAAACCTGGTGAACAGCTAAAAGAAACATATCATCTCAGTCGTTCCCAATAAGAAATATAATTGGTATGCTAAATACTCACCAAATATTTATTGCACTTAGTAAAAAAATGTATGAGAGTTGATAAACTTTTTTTTTTTTTTTTAAATACATTTTTGGCTGAAATGTACCTTTGGCCGAAATCTTTTTCTACAATAGATCGACAGGCGGATCAGTGCAGCATCTGCTGCGATGCGGACTTTGTATCGGTCTGTCGTGGTGAAGAAGGAGCTGAGCCCAAAGGCAAAGCTCTCTATTAACCGGTCGATCTACGTTCCAATCCTCACCTATGGTCACGAGCTATGGGTCGTGATCGAAAGAACGAGATCCCGGATACAAGCGGCTGAAATTAGTTTTCTCTTCAGGGTGTCTGGGCTCTCCCTGAGAGATAAGGTGAGAAGCTGAGAATCCGGGAGGGGCTCAAAGTCGAGCCGCTTCTCCTCCACATCGAGAGGAGCCAGATGAGGTGGCTCGGGCATCTGATTAGGATGCCTCCCTGGTGAGGTGTTCCGGGTATGTCCCACGGGCAGGAGGCCCCGGGGGCGAACTAGGACACGCTGGAGAGACGATGTCTCCCAGTTGGCCTGGGAACGCCTCAGGATCCCCCGGGAAGAGATGGAAGAAGTGGCTGGGGAGCGGGAATTGTGGGCTTCCCTGCTGAAGCTGTTGCCCCCGCGACCCGACCCCGGATAAGCGGTAGAAAATGGATGGATGGATGGATATAATAGATATTCAAACATATATATTTTGGACTGCTCGTTTCTTTGCCAGTAAGCAAACATAACGGTTTCAACGTAAGCAATTACTACACAATGAAACAGAGACTCACAGAAGCCAGTCTACAGCAACTAGCAGACTGATGTCCTGGGTTGGCAGCCCCACAGCAGTCAGAATCAAGAGCATGGTCACCAGTCCAGCACTGGGAATACTGGCAGCTCCAACACTGGCCAGAGTGGCTGTGAGACTGGATGAAAACACAATACGTGAAAAGACAAATACAAAGTCAATAATCATTCTTACACAAGCCTTATATTGAAAAGCCTTATACAGAAAAGGACTCCAAATGGTGCTACTATGAATAGCAGCAACTCAAAGGCTTTCACGTGAGTGATTCATGTTCAGAAGTGCACAAATGAAAGATGAAGGGCTTCAATTACAAGTGGGTCGAATGATGTGATAATGAATTCTCAAGCTGAAGGTCACTCAGTATTGACTCTCACTATCAAGCCAATGCCAATTACTTAAAAAAAAAGATATTTGGAGAAACCAGTCATTTTCGTACTGTGTATTTGTTCTATTTCTGTAGTTAAAATTACCTTTTTCAACACCTTTTTTTTTGGTATACAAAGCTTTTGTGTGTGTGTGTGTGTGTGTGTGTGTGTGTGTGTGTGTGTGTGTGTTGTACCACTTGTCTTTGTCAATAGCCCCAATCCGCTAACTCAACCCCGCGTGTTGACTTACACCTTCTTCCCTTGCTTTGTAGTTTGTTCACCGTCCTTCATGTTGCAATTACATTAGTTAGCCGTATTTGTATTTCGCCCTTTGTTTCGCTTGGTCCTCTCATTCAACATTGCCTCTTTTATTGCTTGAACTTCTGCTCTCAGAATTTTGCCCTGATGCTTTTTCATGTTTCTGATTTGTATTTTTTTTCTTTACATTTTACTACGCAAACTGTTTGTATATGATTTTGCGTCCACCTTCTAGAAATATTCTGTCTTCCCTTACCAGGAGGCAACCACAGTTTGCCTTTCTATAAAACCGAGTAATTGCAGCCTCATAGTTCACTCCAGAAAATGTTGTACAGCAATTTGTATACCTCAACTATTTGAGCTAATTTGATTCAAACCGACCTGTTCTTGCACCAGTCTAGTGGTTCTTTTTCAAAATAACAATCAGCAGCAATCGAGCAACATGTTTGGTGCAACTTTAGACTTTTGACGAATTTGAAACTCCCTCCTGGATGAGTGGGAGATGTTGACCCCTCCATGTCAACATGCTTGGTCAAAGCCATTGCTGGCTGATCTGTAACAGTTTGTGTGGAAAAAATGTAGCTCTAACAACAAGAGTCTCTGTCCACTCATTCTTGCATCGGTGAGAAAACGACTGAGTCTGAGATTCTTTGACTTCAGTGCGAGTAGCAGACAAAGTTTTGTCAACAGCCTCAAGCAGGAACCACGAACGGCTGCATGGATAAAATAAAACATTTTTTTTGACTGAGTAGAATTCATCCAGATGGAAATCTGCAAGTTATTAGTGGTCAGTTTGCAGAGGCAGTGAGACAATCCTTCTGGGACCAATGTTAGGATGTGATGCATTGTGCCAAATTTCCTCTGTTTTGATAGGACCTTTCTAGTTTGGCTTCCTTAACTCCTCTCATAAACCATCAAGCTCATTGTCCAGGATTATGACATCGGTATGTGTTAGGCACACACCCACTAAAGATTTAAAGAGAGGAACTCTGCACCTAAAATGTAGCATATTTGATTGAAATGTTGGTGTGTGTTTCTGTGATGTTTATTTATTTTTTCCCACAGCAGTTTTGCAATGATAATCATAATTCACGATGAGAAAGTATTCATCTCTAGTCCCTATAGGACAAAATTGTATTTTTATTTACCTATTTTAGACTGTTGTGAGGATGAGCAGCTCGGAGAATGGATGGATGGATGGACTGTTTTTTTTTAAACAGATTTATTGAATAGAAATGTTCGGCACTGTTTATCACTATGTATGGTTTCTGACCTAACGGTCACAATCTGACCGGGGTCCAGGTGGACACCGTTCATCTGGGCAATGAAGATAGCAGCCACGGCCTCATACAGAGCAGTTCCATCCATGTTGATGGTGGCACCAACTGGGAGCACGAAACGAGTGACTCTTTTGTCGATTCCCAAATTCTCCTCCAGACAGCGGAAAGTAACAGGCAGTGTCCCGGCGCTTGGAATAAAAACATTATATGTTGAGGTTTGCCTATTAAAAAAAATGTAAGGACACAGACATCTATGATCTTCAATCCTGACCTTGATGCAGTGCCCAGGGCGGTGATCCAGGCCTGGAAGATCCCCAAGAAGAATTTGAAGGGGTTTTTCCTGACGATTACAAAATAGATACTCGGCAGGAAGATGGCTCCGTGAATGATGAGGCCAACAATCACAGTGACCATATACATTCCCAGTTGCCTGCCCACCACTTCCAAGTCCTTTATAGAAATGATCTTACCGCAGATCAGGCAGGCAATACCAAAGGGAGAATACCTGGCAAAAGTAAACAAGGCTTATATCTGCAGACATAGTACAACCTGAGTTTATATTTATAACGCATTTCAAGACAATGGAAGATCAGCCCAATAGTCGTTTAAATGTAGTGGTTGTTGTTTTTCCCCCCAATACTAACCACATGATCATGATGACAAGTTTCATCACAATCTCGTTGAGAATGTTGAAAAATTCAATCATCAATCTGGCCCGCTCTCCCATCTTGCCCATGCAGATGCCAAATGCAATAAAGAAACCAATCAGACCTGTGAGGAAAAGTCACACAACTGTGAGAGTTTGACAATGAAAGTGGACAGGAGAGGGAATTGAAATCAGACAAAACCGTTTTATTGCTGTCAGACTTTGTAATGTGATACAGACCCAAGACATTCATTCCACTCTTGAACTGCAGGGACTTTTTAATGGCAAACTGAGGTTCCTTGGTAATATTTGCCAACAGGCCCTCCATAGCAGTGGCATTGACATCTTCCTCTACAACCACCTCCACCTTCTTAGTCACCGTTTGGATCTAAAATGGAAATCCAATGTTCATTGATAATCTGGGTGATTATTACAGTGTGAAAACTCTACATACAGAAGGCCTACATAAATATTCCCACTCCCTCATTTCTCCCTCTCATTTTCTCCCCAGTGCCTTTGCATGAGCACATGATGCTGATTTGATATTTGTTCAAAACGTATTTCATGTTGAACACATATTATTGGTTTAACCTCAAAGTCTATTTGTAATGTGAAATTTGAGGAATAGTACATCTGAGAGTAAGAGAGAGTTCTGTCGTCTTGGCATTTTGTAGCCTATGTTGTTGATCATTTTTTTTCCTATGACTGTTTTCAGAGGATGCTCTATTTATTCCCAAGTCACTTCCAAATGGGTGTTCCAATTTAGCTCTTTGAAATCTTCCCCTCCCCCAAACCTCCTCTGAAGGAACGAATAGTAAGCAAAGCCAATATCAGCACGAATGATTGTATTTCTTCTCTGCCTCTCACCCAAAGTCAGCTGGGATACGCTCCAGCTCATCCATAAGCCTGAACATGATTTGGAGGAAAAACTGGATGGATGAATGGATGGATGGATGGGTGGATGTTTTTGTTTCTCACTTACCTGTTGGAAACAAGCCTGCACCAGGTTCTCTGGGAACAGGTTCCTGATCAGATCAAAGAAGGCATCCAAGCTGGACACATCATCATTCTTCTCTCCCTCTCCGAGATTCTCTTTGAGTTTGGGGTTTCCAGGGTGGATAACCAACACTAGGATGACTCCCAAAATGGCAGCGATGACAGTGGTGGACATGTAGTAGACCATTGCTCTGGTACCCAGACGACCACTAGATTTGGCATCCAAACCAGCCAGTCCTGCAGCCAGACAAAGACAGTGTGTGCTCACCGTTTCATACCTAAAATGGCTTTTCATGCACATAATGATGCTATATTTTCCTCATTTTTGTTCCATCTCAGAGCATCAGCATAGGCACAACGGCATATACATGTGTATATTCTAATTTGATCCTTAACTTGAAAAGTATCACATAATCTTGCCTTTGGTTATAACACACTTTTAGGTTTACCATGTTTAGCTGCATGCAAGGCGGAAAAAAAATATTTGAAAGACCTCTCATGCAAAATGTAGAGCATCGGTCGACTGTAACCACAAGGTTATAAATAGCACATCATCTGACAAGTCAAAACTGAGCATTACTATTTTTATAAAAGTAGAATTTGCAGTACAACACGACTGGGCCTCGTCAGGTTGTCCGAATTAGTGCAGTTAGTCTACATCTACTGAACTACTGTGGTGAAGTGTGCGGCAACTAATAACACTGATAAATCAAACAGGCAACCGGTTCTGAAGTTGATAACGTACAATGTGTAATCAAATGTCAACAGTGCCCTATAATGTGTATTTGGCACACCTGTGATTAAACTGGAGATGATAAGAGGCAGGATCAACATCTTCAGCATTCTCATGAGGATATCTCCAGGAAAGGCAATGACCATGACTATGTCCGGGTGAATTGGGGAGGCAACACGAAGCAACATCCCTGCCACTGCTCCTAAGATCACACCTAAAATAGACAGACAAGGAGGGATGTCGCAGTAAAGTCTACACAGGCAAAATTACATAGGAGTCACCGAAATATTGTCGAGACAAAAAATAAAAAACACATTGAAGTTATCGTTCACTGAAGATATCTGAGATTATAAGTAAAACATGAGCAATAATTTCCTCGATAAAGAACCATTTGTACAAGTCATTGTCAAGCTGCAGTCACACAGGATGTGACAAGGACTGATGAGTAGCACAATGGCGGTGAAAGAAATCCACTGACAGGCCAGAGTTAAACTAATGACGTTGGTGGCAGTTCTACTGAAGGGAGAACGATGTTGACTGACTGGCGAGCATAAAGGGACATACGCAACACTGTTACCCCGGTAACCATAGCCTGGGTTGTCAAGTGGCAGAGCAATAAAAAGCACGTGATTTTCTTTGTGCTTAAGTAAAGTGGTTGGTTGAGAAGATAAAACTGAAGACAATTGTTTGTGGAATAAAATATATCATTGTTTGTGGAGCAGCCATTTAAAAAAATCTTTTCATTCCCTTCTCAGCGTTTGTTTCCTATTTTATCAACACCATTATTTTATGACCTGCTTGTGGGATTTGTACGTGCCCATTGCCAGCTCTGGGGTTTGGCCTTTGGATCTTCCTATCTCACCAAGACACAAGCTACCCTCTGTCAGTCCCCCCCCCCCTCCCCCGCCAACACACACAGCCCAGTGCCACACTTCCTACTCTTCAACCTCTCCTGCCAAATTCGCACTGCCCAAGTGGAAGTTTTATAACACACTGGAAAGAGAAGCCTCCCATCTTTTGTTAGCTCCTCAATCCATCTTCCAGTGTAGCGGCGTCCTGTGGACTCCTGACGTGCAAGTGTTTTTGGATGCCACTCGATTTCCTGTGGCTTCTCTTTGGCCCATTTGCAAGGAACACCCCGCCCTGGCCCCCACTCCCTTTTCAGGCTCTTACGCGCCTCGTGACAGATTATCAATGATACTGGGATCTCACTCCTTCCGTGCAAGTACTGCCAAGCAGAGGTGGGGGACTCAAGTCACGTGACTTGAGTGGAATTGAAAACATACTGTAGGAATGAATCAACTTGACTTTCGCTTTGAGACACAAACAGACAAGAACTGAGCACACGCCATAGTCTTGCCTGTTTATAGTTTGAAAAAAAAAATCATCATTTACATTATAATTACAATTCGGTTTTTAGAGAAACATATATAGTTTTTGTCTACACCAAAAACCACAACACAGAACTTTACTGTCTGCGAGAATCACCTGCCCTGTCCCAGCCTTCTTCCACTTACACTCGCTGCTCTGTCCTTCGCATCCAAACATAGTTTGGGGCTCAGTCTTTCACATTCACAGCTACACCGCCTATTAGCACATACTATCTGTAGGGTTGTCACAATACAAAAGCTATTAAAAATGCATTCCTAATGCAACGCGGGACATTGTTATAAACACTACTCTAATAATATTCAGCTAATTAACTAAGAAAAAGTTAATTCGCTTAAATTTTATTTGGTAATGTATGTTTGGTCATGTAATAACCCTTTAAATTACTTTGGAGGACAAGTATAATTTACAGAGCATGTGTTCATTATGAGCCACCCGAGTGAGTGATACAATTAAAGAGAAAAAGGTGAAATGGAAAGCTCTCTCTCTCTCTCTCTCTCACTATATACGTATGTATTATATATATATATATGCTTCCAATCACACCTAGGTCCAATTTAGAGCATCCAATTCTACCATGCATGTTTTTCAGAATGTGGAAGGAAACCGGAGTACCCGGAGAAAAACCACGTAGGCATGGAGAAAACATGCAAACTGCACAGGAAGGCCATGGCCCGGAATCAAACCCATAATGTCTGCACAGTGTGGCAGACATGGTAACCAGTCAATCATCGTGCTGCTGTGTATAATAAACAAGATAATTTTATGCTCAAACTTTCCAGTGCCCTTTTATTTTTTCAGGTTTGACTGTTATTAAAAAAATAAATAAATAAAAACAAAACAGATGACTCTCTTCATTCTCAAAGAATTGTTTATGATTGTGGAGCACGAAGAGAAGTGCCTTGCTGCCAGACCATGTAGACCAAATGATATTTTTGAAAATGCAAGCCTTTGGCAAAATTGTTTATTGTTAGCTTCAGTTGTGAACATAGCTGGTTAATTTGCTGCGAAAATACACAAGTTTAATACTTGTGAATATTTTTTTGTTCCACAAAACTTTTTTAAATATTGTTCAGATATATGAAGCACTTTATCTTAAGGATTTGTTTGCATTGATGTTGTAGTGCAAAAAAGAATCAACTTATCCTGATCATAAGTAAGTTAGTGAATAAAACGAGAACAAGCTTGTTCTGTTTTACTTTGTTTATGCTCAAATATTAGGAGAACTATCTTGTTCATTTTTTTTTACATTTTGGAATCAGTAAAGCTGACTTGGTTTTAAAGTAAAATTTTATGAAACAGCATTCTATCGTGTTGATTTGGAGTTACCTTTAATTATTGTTTGTTTTTTATTTTTCAGAACAGCGGCGATATTGCTTTGTGTCGAATCATTAGGCTTTATATTGATACGTTTTTTAATTTGTGATCAATCTCAAATTGAAATAATGATGAAGTAATAATGATGGATGGTTGGCCCAGCTGTTGGCGAATGATGAATGACTGACCGTCAAAATTAACTGACATGCCCATCTGCGTGTGTGTGTGTGTGTGTGTGTGTGTGTGCGTGTGTGTGTGTGTGTGTGTATGTGTGTGTGTGTGGTAGTATAGAGATGTACAACTAATGTGGTATTTAAATTTGGCTTTGCAAAGTGTGCAAATTATTTAGGATTTCTTCAATAAGCCATCAAGGAACTTAATGTAAAAGTCTGTATTCAAACTAGTGACTCCCCTCTAAGTTTGGCCACAAAGTGAACAGAACGTGGTTTTAAAAATTTGGCTTAATCTCCAAAGTTAACATTTTTTATACAGTATATATAATGTATATGTGTGTGTGTGTATATATATGTCTGTGTGTGTGTGTGTGTGTATATATATAGCAGTGGCGGACCCTCAGGGCCAGCAAGGCCTTCTCTGCTGGCCTAAACATTCTCAGAAAAGTAAATTTACTTTTCTGAGAATAACATTAATTTCTTATTTTATTTTCATAAATATGTAAACAAAATTATTCTCAGTATTCTTTACGTCATATCATTTCCACTTAGTCGAGTGGCTTTCAATGTTATTTTAAATAACATTGAAAGCCACTCGATAAATAACTTATTTATTATGGTAGAGTTTTTAACCAATCATATTTCAGCTAGCTGTATTGCCAGGTAAATTACATTTGCTCGGGGCCTTCAGATTAAACAGAGCAGGCCCCTGTGCGC